ACCCCACGGGCAAGGACATCGACGCGCTGGCCAAGCACATCCAGAACCTGCTCTGCCCCTCCACGCCGCTCTTCTTCAACACCCTGTACGACCCCTACCAGGAGGGCGCCGACTTCGTGCGCGGCTACCCGTTCAGCCTCCGGGAGGGCGTGCCCACCGCCGTGTCGCACGGCCTCTGGCTCAACATCCCCGACTACGACGCCCCCACGCAGCTGGTCAAGCCGCGGGAGCGCAACGGCAGGTACGTCGACGCCGTCATGACCATCCCCAAGGGCTCCCTCTTCCCCATGTGCGGCATGAACCTCGCCTTCGACCGCGAGCTCATCGGCCCGGCCATGTACTTCGGCCTCATGGGCGACGGCCAGCCCATCGGACGCTACGACGACATGTGGGCCGGCTGGTGCGTCAAGGTACATAACTGAACTAAACACACATATCGCCTTTGAGTTTGATTTGGTTCGGCTGTACTGAACTTTTACTGAATAATTTGTGTATGTGTGCAGGTGATCTGCGACCACCTTGGGCTGGGAGTCAAGACGGGGCTGCCCTACATCTGGCACAGCAAGGCCAGCAACCCGTTCGTGAACCTGAAGAAGGAGTACAAGGGCATCTTCTGGCAGGAGGACATCATCCCCTTCTTCCAGGCCGCGAAGCTGACCAAGGAATGCGACACCGTGCAGAAGTGCTACATCTCGCTCTCGCAGCAGGTCAGGGAGAAGCTCGGCAAGATCGACCCCTACTTCACCAAGCTCGCCGACGCCATGGTCACCTGGATCGAGGCCTGGGACATGCTCAACTCCAAGGACTCCAAGGACTCCAAGGAGGCCGACGCCAACGGCAAGCTCAAGGGGAAGTAGATCGAGGGAGAGAACCTTTTTTTGCATTAGCATACTGAGCAGGCGTGGTGAGGCGGCGTATACCGGTTTCTTCAGTTCGTAGGTTCAGTGCGTGCATCAGGTATTCAGGTTCAGGCTGTTGTGTACTACAAAACATTAGCTGCCGTTCTATCTTACGTTTACGTTGAGGGTCGCGTTAATTTCCCCCTTCTTTAATTTCATTATTAAGAGACGGTGTTGTTTTCTCAAGGGTTTAGTACTACGGTTATACTTGTGGCTGCTAATGTTTCCGTGTAATCTTGTGTACACTGAAATGTGAGAATAAAAAGTTGTTCAATAATAAGCATTGCAACTGTCCGTGTGTATGCTTCTATTCCCTCCGTCTGAATTTACTGAACCAAAAGGTCACCTATCAATGTACGTATGTCGGTTATTCCTTGCAATCTCTCTGTTTGTGTGTTGCGTTGCCTGCATTGAAGCCAATGCATTGCATCAACCTGCTCGACATAGATTAATATCAGCCCGATTACCATAATAACCGTGAATATGACGATTTTACCAGAAAAGGCCAGCGCGGCCACTATTGATGCCATGGCACCAGGAAGCATGCCAATTAATGGTGGTTTGCTACGTACCGTGGCCATTTCCCACCACATTTTCCCGTTGCCTGGCAGCGGCGGCTACGAAAATGTTATCGACTTGGCCGAATAACTCACAAGCCCCGGTTCAAATGCCTCCACCTTTCTCCATACCGCCATGTCTAAATAGCTCTTGTCCCGCCTAGTTGCCACCTCCCTCCCCATCGCCACGTTTGAATAGCTCTTCACCGTCATCATGTCGTCCACTCTTGAAGGAGGAGGCAGTAGAGGAGGCGGCTGACCTCGTCGCTGAGGAGAAGGAGGAGGATCGCCTTTACGCGCTGGAGGCCACGTAGAAAGATCCCGCACTCGATGAGTGGCCGGACTGAAATCCCAAAACACACTCCATCGAGTTTTATTCACACGGCGGCTAAGAGCTAATACCACATGGGGACCCCGGTATCTTGAGACTTTTCCCCTGAACCTCGGTGACCGCCCCCTAATTGGAGCTCTCGGGCATCCAAAGAGGGATGCCATGAGGTCTTATTCATGAGGCTTTTGATGGAACTCTTCATAAATCCATCCAATGCACTTCATGCATCACTATGGACATTTCTTCATATAAAATTCAATGCACTTGATGCTCCATAGGAATTGCCATTCAATACGAAGCTCAAAGTATATCTTTATCTTTATGCTATTCATTCTCGAATCTATCCAATTCTTATGAGATATTATTTTAAATAAACCTCAATGAAACATTAGTCCACATAGATTGTCCTTAGTTACCGAAACCATACTCAAGGGCTACATGCATTTTCAACATTTCCAACAAGTTGTTCACTAAACATTAGTCACTGGAATCATTTCCATCCGACACGTATACCCTAAGTCCTCCCCTGGTCATATACGGGTAGTCACATTGAGTTGTACACAAAAACGTCACTTGGGTGAGTTCATAAGTGTTAAGGTTTCAAGACATAGACAATCTGGTCACAAATAGGGTTACCCAAGCTCCTTCTATCATTAGAATGATTTTTTTTCTATTGGTCTCGGTTTGAATCCTTCACAGAACACAACATGTGTGTGGGGTGATCGACATCCCATCTTCTCATGCTTTAGAAAGATGTGTGAGAGACCCGTTATATGCTAGTCTCAACTATTCTTCACTAGCAACACATTTTTAGAATGAAGATTGAGAACGAGCCCGACTTTGAATGAATACGCCATCATTCGGGCAAGAATCTAACAACACATTGTACGTAACCAAATGGGCCTTAGGGACCAGGAATTAGTTGTCTCCATAGAGCTAAGCCCATAAATTTTGACCCGATACATAGTGGGTCTGATACCAAATCAGAACAAGCAACAAAGTTGTGAGACGAGAAATGGCAGGCTGGGCGCATCTAGCTCCCTGGCTCAAACAGGGTGTATGGTGGGCTGGCCTAGTAGTGTTACGTTTGTTAGTTTCATTAGTTTTTGTTGTTGCGTTTTTTCCTTTTCTTTTTTTATGTTTGTTTACATATTCCAAAAATTAATTTGCTTAAATGTACGTCATGTATTTAAAAAATGGTAACACATGTAAAAAAATTCATGCATTTTTTAAATATGTACTATTTGAAAAAATCGTGACAATAAAATTAGAAAATGATTGTTATATTTTAAAATATATTTATACAAATATAAAATGTTTTAAACTCAAACAAATGTTACATACCAGTCAAATAAATGTTTGTGAAATTTTAAGAAAATGTCAACGTGTTTCAAAAATATGTTGATAATTTTTTTATAAAAAAATTATATAATTTAAATATTGTTCATGTAGTTTAATAAAATGTTTCATAACATTCAAAAAAATATATTCAATGTGTATTTGAAAAACTATAACATGTATCAAAAATATATTCAAAACATGTATTTGTGTTCAATGTGTATCAAAAAAAACATCTACGTGTATACAAACAGGTACAACGTGTATTGAAAATAAAAAATAGATGTAATGAAAATGAATTAAAAAAATAAAAACCCGATGATAACGCTAAAACACATAGAAACAAAAAAAAAACCACATGAATGCTTCTAAAACCAGTCTAAACCGGTTCATACAAGCTTCCAAAACTGCTTTACTGGACCGGCCCACTGAGGCGAGTCGCAGCCGACCGCCAGCATCGATGCTTAGGCTTAGGCGATGGATAGCATCTTCTAAAAAAGGCGATGTATAGCATTTCTCTCCCATATAAAAAGGCGATGTATGGCATTGGCGTGGCAGGCTGGGCCTCTTGCCCATCGCAAGGTCACGGGATAGAGAGAATTCATGGAACCGGTGAGTCGAGTGCCTTGCACGTGCCAACAACGTGAGCAAGCAACGCAGCGCTTATGAGCCGTACATGCGCACTGCTGGGCTGCTGGCCCCACGTTCCGACCTTGTGCCCCTGCGTGCATTGCCCGTGTAACGCCAAACGGACCCTGACAATCCAACAGCTGTAGATCACACAACGAAAATACATGCCTTCCCAAAATGCCCTCTCAGATGTATAACCAGTGTTAATGCAGTGCACCTGCGGGCCACGGAAACCCTTTGTGATGCGTGTCGACCTGAAGTCTGCTTGGTTGCGTGCACTGTATTTTTACTTGCATTCTTCCTAGGTGAGCCGAAGGATGCTTAACAGAGACGTCCGATTTGGCAGAAGGTGATCCAATACCTCCCGTCGCTAGGTGAGTCGAAGGGAGCTAAATAGAGGCGTATGATTCGGCGAAAGACGACCCAATCCCTCCCGCTGCTTTTACACGAACACGCCCTTGCATTTCTCAGAGGTGAGTCGAAGAGTGCTAAACAGATGCGTCCGATTTGACGAAAGATGATCCAATCGCTTTCATTGCTGGGTGAGTCGAAGGGGGTTAAATAAAGGCGTCTGATTCGGCGGGAGGTGACCCAATCCCTCCCGTCGATTTTACGTGAACGCACCCACGCATTCCCCAAAGGTGAGCGGAAGGATGCTAAACATAGGCTTTCGATTTGGCGGAAGGTGATCTAATCGCTCCCGTTGCTAGGTGAGTTGAAGGGGGCGAAATAGAGCCGTCTGATTCAGTGGGACTGTGGGAGCCGACCCAATTCCTCCAGTCGCTTTTACGCAAACAGTGTCATATGTTTGATTGAGAAATAAAAAAGAATATCAAGAATTCCCGTGGCTGACCACCGGTTGAAGCAAATCAGAGCGACTCATGAGCACGGCAGTCCTGCGCGCGGGGGGCATTTTGGTGAACTCCGTCGTAAAAGGTAAGCGCACCGTCGTCGACAGTATCCGCATCCACGCCATCCCCGTCGCTGCGAGAAAAAAACGTGCCAAAAAAGCACACAACCTTGGCTGGAGGCGGCGGCAGGGCGAATCTCCTCAGTAGGGAGGAGTATGAGATAACCCCACGCTTATCACCATCCCTTTCCCCACTCTCCAGTCTCCACCCTCCCGACGAAGCCCCCATCTCACCTCCTAAAACCAAAGCCCTAGCTACCGGGCTAGCGAGCTAGCCAGACCCCCCTTCCCGTAGATCTCTCCTCTCCGGGCGTGCTCGCGGCGCCGATCCGGCGATGACGACCAAGGCGAAGCTCGGGGAGCTAATGTGGGAGCACCGGCTGCGTGCGGCGGCGGCGGTGGCGTTCCTCGCCGTCGCCGTGGTGTCGATCTCCGCCGTCGGGCCCAGGCTCGGCGCCGTGGTCTCCTTCTTCTGGCCGCTGCTCGTCTCCACGGGCTTCTTCCTCGTGGCCATCACCGTGCTGCTCCGGATCTCGCCGCCGCCCAGCGGCGCGGAGGAGTCCGGCAAGGAGATCATCGACTTCGTCGCCGGGTGCCGCCCCGAGCACCTCCTCCCGGAGGCGTCCGCCACCGTGGAGGTGCCGCCGGAGCCGGAGATCTGAAGAGCCGGGGAGGAGGAGGTGCGCGCGGCCGCGAGATGGCCTTGTTCGCCGGGGCTAGCTCAGGAGAGACGTGGGGTAACCTGTATGGGCCCGCCTGGGAGCCGGGGGCCCGTCGCCGGGCGCCCCCGGTGTGCGGTGGTGCAGCCGTGGCTAGCGTAGGATCCTCCCGTCTCCGTGGTGTGGTGTACAATAGTACCATTGAATAAAGATGTCATAAATTCGCTCCGTCAGCGCGCATAATTTGAGTACCAGGTACCACTGGTGCTCCATGTTCTTCCGTTTTCAGGTGGAGTCTTCAACTCTCGATGCTTTGATTTGATGCCATGAAAGCGAGAGATCGGAGCTGAAGGCCCGAGGTCAAAGGCCTTGAGCGGCCGAACCTCGAATTTCTCTTGAAGAATCTGCCTCGCCTCTTGTATTTGAAAAAGACCTCGGTAAGCGATGGTGCAGGGGGCAATAAACCTCATTTCCAAACCGACCATCTGTTGGCGTCTGCTAGGAACTGTAAAGCCGAAAATGCGATAGATTGATAGCTAGGGTACACCCTTTCGGCGTGGCAAGAGATGGATTCTTCTGCCCGACGCATCATCCTTTCGGCGCACAGTAGTATCACCAAAGTAGAAAATGTCCCCTGCACCGTCCCTGTCATTTTTCTCGTATCATTACTATAACTTACTTAGTTCAAATAATTTTATATTGGAGTTGAACATGGTGTGAGCCCGGTGATCACACGTACGTATGTCCTCCAGTCTCCCGTCGATGTCACCGTAGGACCCCGTCATACCAAACTCTGATTCTTTTTACCGCGAGCAGTGCTGAACTCTCTGATCCGACTTGGAACGAAAACGAGCTAGCCTAGTTAGTTGCTGTCGCCGTACTAGTAAATTAGTTGTATGTCTTGATCTGCTTTAGGAGGAGTGAGGTCTACGACACCAGTCAATGAACGGGCCGTGGATCCTCTCACTCAAGTTTCTCGGATGGTCCATGGTGTTGAGCATGATCGATGTCTGTTTCTTTTACGGTGTGATTTTAAGGTCTGTTTTTATTTCACCAGTGGTCGTTGTTTGTACTGTCAAAATTTCTTCGCTATTTTTTTAAAAACAAATCATCCCACTTTATTACAGTGTTACAAGAGTTACATTGCTGAGTAAAAGCAGGATAAATTCACTAGGAGTCTTATCGAAGAAACTACTTCCTCCGGTCCTTTTTACTCTGCATATTAGAATTCTCTGAAGTCAAACTTTACAAAGTTTGATTGTATTTATATGAAAAAATATCAACATCTGCCATGCTAAAGTTATACAATATGGAACTTTAAGTCATGACACATCTATTGATATTGATTTCAGATTGTGAATGTTGGTATTTTTTTCTATAAAGTTGGTCAAACTTTACGAGGCTTGACTTCAGTCAAATCTTATATACGAACTAAAAAGGACCGGAGGGAGGGAGTACTACATAAAGCCGCCTTTGCCAAATTTGCCAGTTCATGGGCGACCATATTTGCCTTTATGGGGGAATGCACAAAAGAAGTATAAAGAAAATCACATGCCATGTGATAACGGTCGTTGAAGATTGCTGCTACTGGTCCTGCCGATCTTCCTCCCTCATTCATAGTATTCACCACTTCCAAATTATCAGAGTTAATGATGATATTATTACAGCCTACAGTTTGTGCTAAAGATAAATCATATCGCAATGCAGTTGCTTCGGCTAAAAGAACATCATAACAGAAATCAAGTTTCCAATTACCCGCGCTGATAAAATTACCTCTGTCATCTCTGATGATTGCATCTGTCATCCCTACAAGCAGATCATCATCAAAGAAGGCATCCACATTCAATTTCACATGTCCTCTAGGCGAGAGTTCCCATCCTCCTATTTTCCTCTTAGCTTTAGGAGCGACCGCAACAGTGTAATTAGTTGTAAGGACTCTAACAGAAGTAGCAATCTGGTTAGCAGTTTGAACCTTTTCTCCATGGCGTAGCTTTCTCCTTTCCAACCATAGGTACTAGCAGGTTATTGGTATCATTTCATGCATCTTTTCCTGTTTCTGACCCATCATTTCATGTTGTGGCATCTCCAATAGGAATCGAAATATACTTTTGCCCGCCCTATCAATGAGACACGCCTTTTGAATTAGTTTCTCCAGAGCAAGCTCTTTCCAAACATTCATTGCGGCAGGGCATTGAAACAACACATGAGCCGTAGTGTTGGCCCCTCTCTTGCAACAGGGGCATTGCGGCGACACCTTGATATGTCTCTGGGCCAAATTGACACCACATGCTAGGGTACCATGCAGCGCTTTCCAAGTGAAAATTTTGACTTTTGCCAGGCAGTCTAGTTCCCAAACTTTCTTCCACACTCACGTTTTGTGGTGCACCTTGGCCATTTGACCAACAGAGATTGTTTCCAAACTTGTGATCCCATTCCACATAGTACGCCGATTTGACAAAGAACTGGAAATTCTTTGACATTCCCCATGCTAGGAAATCCTCCATGTCGTAGTTTGGTAATGGTATAGCTAATATTCAGTTGCAATCAACATGCCAGAACGTTTGTCTTACAAGCTCCTCATCCCATTGGCCTGTACCGGGATCAATTAAATCATGAACTTTAGATATGATCTGGTTGCCTCGTGGGGTTATTACCTTCCTATTTTGAGTTCCTTGTAGCCATGCATCATTCCAGATATTTATTTTCCGTCCATCCCCTACTCTCCAAATGCATCCCTGCTTTAGAGTATTCACGCCTGCCATTATACTTTGCCATGTAAAAGATGAACCTTTCTTCAGTTTGGCATTGATCAACTCACCATCTAGAAAATATTTAGCCTTAAGAACCGTTGCACACAAAGAGTCTGCGTTATCAATAAGACTCCATGCTTGCTTAGCCAGGAGTGCCAAGTTAAAACAATGGATATCCCTAAAGCCCAATGTCGGTGTCAAAACTGGCAGATCTCGGGTAGGGGGTCCCAAACTGTGCGTCTAAGGATCGAAGGTAACAAGAGACAGGGGCATGGTGTTTACCCAGGTTCGGGCCCTCTTGATGGAGGTAATGCCCTACTTCCTGCTTGATTATCTTGGATCAATATGGGGTTTACAAGAGTTGATCTACCTCGAGATCGTAATGGCTAAACCCTAGACGTCTAGCATGTATGATTATGATTGCCTCTATGGACTAAACCCTCCAGTTTATATAGACACCGGAGGGACCTAGGGTTATACAGAGTTGGTTTACAGAGGAAGGAATCTTCATATCCGAACGCCAAGCTTGCTTTCCACATAAAGGAGAGTCCCATTCAGACACGGGAAGAAGTCTTTTGTCTTGTATCTTCATGGCCCATTAGTCCTGCCCACGTCACATAGCTCGGACGCCCGAGGACCCCTTAATCCAGGACTCCCTCAGTAGCCCTTGAACCAGGTTTCAATGACGATGTGTCCGACGCGCAGATTGTCTTCGGCATTGCAAGGCGGGTTCCTCCTTCGAATACTTCAAAGTAGTCTTCAAACACAAAAAACGTGTCCGGCTCTGCAAAATAGGCACCACACACAGCCGCAAAGAGTATAATATTTCACAAGTCCCATCTACTGACAACTTTTGTAGCGAGATGTTACATCCCTGCCCAGTCATTATTTTGAACCGTTTTTTAGCCTCCCGCTCCACGTTTCGAGACACGGTTTTCATTGGCACATCTTGTCGAAGCAGAGATCGTGTCTCCTTTATCGCGGGATTCTCATCAATACGGGTGTGGGTAATCCAACCGCGTCGTCTGCATGACCCTTGGGGAATAGGCGAGCTTTAAGGCGAGGCGGGAGGCGCTTGATATTTGCTGCCTTTATAAGAGGATAAATATCCACTCTTTCACCCATGCCTTCTTCCTCTCTGCCCATCCGTTCTCGAGCTCCAGCGTCCAAGCTTCCATCCTTTCCGCCCCCAAAAAGCACTCCGACCATGTACGGATCTGGAGCGTAGGGCAAGTGGATGGCCTCCTCCGTCACGGAGGAGAACATTATGGAGCTTCAGGAAGCGGGGTACTTGGCCCAGGAAATCGCCCACCGGCTTTCGGCCAAGGGGCAGATCGTCCCCACCCGGAGCCCAACGAGAGGGTGGTATTCATCCCCCACTTCATCCGCGGGTTAGGATTTCCCCTCCACCTCTTCACCCGCGGACTCATGTTCTACTATGGGCTAGATTTCCACGATCTAGCTCCAAATTCTTTCCTCAACATCTCAGCATTCATTGTCGTGTGCGAGGCCTTCCTCCGCATCCCACCCCACTTCGGATTATGGCTAAAGATCTTCAATGTGAAGCCGAAAGTGGTGGATGGTCAACATGCAGAGTGCGGAGGCGCTATGGTGAGCAAACTGTCCAACGTCACATGGCCCACTGGCACCTTTGTGGAGACCGTCAAAGGGTGGCAACAGCAGTGGTTCTACGTCACAAAGCCCCGTGACACCACCTGGGCCACGGCTTCCAAATTAAAGTCTGGGCCCCCAATGCGGCTTACCTCCTGGCTAAACATGGGCCTGGACTGGGCATCGTCAGACGAGGTGTCAGCGCTGCAGATGCGCATCAAGAGCATGGTGGACAAGTACATCAAGCTCGTCAACGTGATCCAGGTGATGCTTTTTCGCCGAATCCTTTCTTGCCAAAGCCAGACTTGCCATTTGTGGGACTTTGATCCGGCCAAGCACTAGACCTTGCGATAGTTCTTCGGCTCCACACACACAGGTATCTGGAAGGTGCTTTTCAAGGCCAATCAGCCATGGCCGAAGACGACCGAAGACTGCGGATACAACCTGACTCATCCAGCCAGTCCGGTAAGTTCTTAGTACTTCAAGGTGTATCTCTTCATGTGCATTCAAGGAAGATGTCTAAGCTTCTCCATTTGTCTTTTCAGGGTTGGATAAAGAGGGCGGAGCGGATCCAGTGTCCGGCTCCACTGCCTGAAAACCCAGCTATCCCACTTCTAACGAAGATGCCGGTTCCGACGCCCT